TTAAATCAAATGGACATAACACACATACACACACACACAAACACACTTTATCCATGAGTACAGAAAACACATTTGTTTCCAGAACAGAAAGAATATTCTCCAGAATGGATCAGATGTCAGGCCACAGAATAAGACTTGATACAGTCATCCTTTTTCCATACTCCTTCACCAGGGATCAGGTAGAGGAGCATTTCCACTCCTCAATAGACATTGTATGAGGGACCACTCCAACTCCCAGCAGAAGTCTAGTGTGCAACTGACTTCCTACCTGGTTCTTTTTTGCTACTAGGTCCAGCACCTCCCACCCTACAGGGCGGGGGAGGGGGACTTTCAGTCCAATGGGCACTGCCTCAGTCTGCACTCCAGCTGACTACCATTTTCTCCTCTGTCATCACACATGGCAGACTTCACTAAGGATAGGATGGAACTGCACTGGGAAACTGGAGACCTCACTAGACTGGCTCCTCTGAGGTCTCTCCTGTCCCATCAGACCTCTCCTCCTCTTCCTTCAATTTCCTTGATCTTCCCTTCACATCCCTGAAATCCCTAGATCTGTGCCTCTTCAACATCCTCACCTCCCTACCCTGATGTCCATCCCTGCAGACTTTTCCCTTCTTACTTCAGCCATTACTGCCCTATGGTCACCATAGTTTTCTGTCCCTTTCCTCATTAGGGGTATCAAGGGACTCAGGGACTCCCAAGCAACACAGAAAAGCTAGTGGGAAAAAATGGATTTTTCATCTACTCTGCTGAGTTTTGGAGTCATTCTGAGAGCTACTTGATGTATCCTTGGTCCCTCACCCAAACTACAATCCACAATCTCCATAAGGTCGCATATCACAGCAAAGAAAATCCTAGTCTCCTCCAAAAATACTTGCAGGAAAATTAGGTCCTCACATTGAACAAGTAAACTCAATTTTCCCATCTGCCAGAAACACATTCCAAACAGAAATATAAAGTCTACTAAATGCAATGGCCAACTCTCTTTATATCAACCAGTGAGTTTTGTATTTTTGTGCTTCTGCCTAACTCGTTGCTAAAATTGGAGAATGAAAGGTATAAGATCTCTGCTGTGAATGTCTGTTTTTATATTCACCCATATACATATGTATATGTTTTACATACATAGAGATGTGTGAATATATATGTGTAATTTTGTAATTTTCTTATCTCAGAATGGTATTTTCGTATTAATATATGATATCCCTTAAAAAACTCTGCTAATTAGTAGAAAAATGAATAAGTGTATATATATATGTATATATGTATATATATAAATATATGTATGTATGTGTGTGTATATATATATATATATATATATATATATATATATATATATATATATATATATATATCTCTCCTTATACTCTCAGATTTTTTTTTTTTTTTTGGTACTGGGAATGGAGCCCAGGGGTGTTTCCAGCCCTTTATATATTTTAAGTATTCTTTTCTATTGGGGGCTACTCCCCAGTACTGAAGGGCACTTGACCACTGAACCACATCCTCAGTCATATTTGGTAACTTATTTAGAGACAGGGTCTCACTGAGTTGCTTAGCAGCCTTGCAGTTGCTGAGGCTGGCTTTGAACTTGTGATCTTCCTGCCTCAGCACTGATATTAGAGGCATGCACCATTGCGCCCAGCTTCATTTTTAGGTTTTGAGATGGTCCCACCAAGTTGCTGAGGAAGGCCTCAAGCTTGCCATTCTCCTGCCTCAGTCTCCTGAGTCACTGGGATTACAGGTGTGCACTACCATGCCCAGATAAATTCACACATTCTTAACTAAAACCAGACACAGCCTCTCGTGGCAATATGCAACAAGAACATATATGTTTCAGTCTGGAACCTTAGCCTCAGAAGATTTAAAGGAAAAAACCCATACATATGCAGATGTTCTTTCTTTCATTCCAGTGGTACCAGGAAACAACTCTTTGCATATGAACTACATGAATGCACATATTTTTGACTATGAAGAAAATGATGAAACGACACAGTATTTCTGAAATATGGTTAAGTGGAGAAACTGGAGCATACTGTTGGCTCTAGAAAGTAATTGTTGAAGAGACAAAGAGCTGAATGAGAGAAGGGGATGGAAACTTGGGGAGCTGTCTAACAAGAAAGTTCTCCATGAAATCTCTATTCCCTGACATTAGTGGCAGCTGAAATTTCACTTTCTCAAAAAGCCTAAGTTGCAATCACAGTTGGTCTGTCACCCCGTCAATGGTCAATGGTGGGCATGGGTCTCCCTTTCTGGAAGCTTCATGTTTATATGTTTATATATATCTATATCTATATCTATCTATCTATCTATATAGATAGATATAGAAAGAGAGAGAGAGAGAGACAGAGAGAGCGAGCACACTAGTGCACTAGCAGGAATGGACACAAGGGTGGCTTCACCACTTAGCCCCATCCCCAGTCTGTTTTCTCTTTCTTTTTTTTCCCCCCTTGAGACAGGCTCTCAATAAGTTGCTTAGGGCCATGATAAGTTCCCAAGGCTGGATTTGAACTTGAGATCCTCCTGCCTAAGCCTCCTAAGCCACTGGATTACAGGCATGCACCACCACGCCCAGCACAGGATGCTTCTTTTGCCTTCCAGGGAGCAATTTGGGATTCTGGAATGGGGTATGAGGAGAAGCCAGGTTCACCAAGAGGTCAGGCAGTCTGTGGGGTCTGTCTGTAGAGGGCAGTTACTGAAGTATTCCAGTCCCCCAAAAGGGGTCAATGTCACTTCTGAGTGACTCTACTGAGCTCTTCTTTTCAGTAACTGAGTCGTTTGAGGGTTATAGGGTTCCAAAGAGGCACTCAACTTCTACTCACTGTCCCTCTGTCCCAACTGTGACCTGCAGTGGCATCGGCAGGGGCTTGACTGCCACCTAGAGCACCAGAGGCAGGTATGCACAGGAATGTAGAATGTACAGGAATTTAGGATCATCTGTGCTGGGTGGATTTTATAAGCTGTTTCCAATTGTGTCAATAACTGCTTAGGAGATTTCAAGAGGAGTGATTACAAGTTTTCTTTTGGAATCTGTTTTTGATGGACCTGAACTAGGTACTTAAACATTAATTTTCCTTCTGAGGACTCTTGAGGCAATACACATTTGCATACTGTGACACTCTACTGAGGGGGCTGCCTTTGTGGGTCCTGTCAAACACCAGTTTGACATGCTTGATTCTCTAATGATGTATTTGCTACAGTTCATATGGGATGCAGTTTGACATTAGGCCACTGTATGTATGGGATATTCTCCAGACCCCTGTTGGGCTACTGGAATTTCAGTTGGCAAGACCCTCCCATAAATCCACAGGTGTTTCTTGTTTTCTATCTGGAAGCAGCTTCACAGCTGGGCCTGGTGGCTGGTGGAAACGTGAGGGAAACTTGCAGGTATGTTCTGATGACCAAAGGAAACTAGGGACAAATGGGGTGGGGTGACTATTCCAGGATGTTCTGTCGCTAAAGACCCTACATGTGTTTGTGTGCCCACACTCAGGTGTATGCAAAAGGAAGAAGAAATAGTCGAAGCTGCAGATCCCAACTCCCAGCTTGGAGGAAGAATCTGAGGGCTCAACTGTGCACCAGGCCCCACCAGGTGCTGGGAAATAGGCCATTTGCCTCCTGTCCTCCTGACTACTGCTGAATGTGGGGAAGCCCTCTTCAGTACCTCAGGGGGTCTGGGAAAGGGAAACCTCAGAACTTGAGAACAGCGTCCCTTTGTTTGTGAAATACTACTAAATGTAGTTCCCAATGGGGGAAAAAATCTCACAAATGATGCAATGTCCACACTGGAATATTCCACAATGAATCATTCATATATATATGAACATATATTTAAATATATCAAATATGTTAAATATATTTACATTTATATTCAAAATGTACATATAGTTATGTATGTAATGCACATGTATGTAAATGCACATATAGTTAAGATGCACTTTTTAAATATTAATTTTTTGGTGTAGATGGACACCACACAATGCATTTTTATTTTTTTATGTGGTCCTGAGGATCAAACCCAGGTCCCACCCATGCTAGGCAAGCGCTCTACTGCTGAGCCACAATCCCAGCCCCTAAAATGCACTTTTGAAATAATAATATTAGAAGTGGGGGTAGAGTAGAGCTACTTGATGAGGGTTCAGGAGGAGTGAAGGGAAAGGGAAGGTTCTATGGAAGGAAATTGATCAATTATGTGCATATACAAATATGCATAAGGAGTCCCCCTATTATGTCTACTTATTAGTAAATAGTTAGGAAAAAATAGTTTAAAAATAATGTCCTTCCAGGGGAGTCTTCTGTATGCTACTTGGCATAATGAAGGCTTTCCAGCTATCACCCTGCTTTCCTAAGAGTTTATTCAACACTTTGGCTTTGATGGTATTGCTGTTTCTTTGGAGCAGCAGGACATCTAGGCAATAGCTGCTAGTGGCCACGTGCACCACAAAAACGGAGGGCAGTGAATAGTTTGGAGCTAACAACATGAATGTTCAGTTGCCACCTTCCCATAAATCCTGTGAGTTGCCCTTTAGGGAATTTCTCAGGCCAGGATTCACAGTGAACTCGTCAGCATGGCTAGAACTTGGCCCTCTGTGAAGACACACTGTTCTCTTGCTAGAGACTTGGCCTGCCCCTCCTTGCACATGTAGAGGTCCCAAAGGGGCAGAGTGGGGGTGACGATGGCATGATGGGAGAGGGAACATAGATGAATGTATGGGTCAGTGTGGACCCCCATGAAACTTGGGAAAAGGTGAAGTGCAAGGCCTACTGATGGTGACCCAGGCAAGTCACCTATGAAAGCAGAGCTTCTTGTTATTATGTTGAAATGTCCCTCTTGGAAAAATTCACATCACATTTTCCATATATAACAAATATATTGATAATTCACTTTTTTATTGCCAATATAAGTGCTCAGGAAATAAGTGCATTGTGGGCATCAACAGTAGCCCATATGTCAGTGACAACAGATAAACACATCAACAATCTGGTTCCGGAAGGATGGCAGTCTAGGGCCCCTTCATCATGGCATCATCATCGTCCTGGGTAGGATGAGGTGCATTTCTCAGGGAGGTTTCCCTCAGAGTTTTCCTATGCTTGGCTCTCCTATACTTAAACCAAGTCTACGATCAGAAGGAAAAAGGGACTGGTTTAGTATATTGAAGTTAATGTCATAATGGTAAAAAACACATCATGCAGCCCTATAGGTCACTTGGATTTTTAAATTGCACAGCAGAAGCTTTTTTGTTTCTGTTGCTTTGGAATTTTGCAGTACTGGTAATGGAGCTCCAGGCCTCACACCTCCTAGGCAAGGAAGGATATCACTGAGTGATATCCTGTCACCAGAAGCTATTTTTTTAAAAAATAATTTTTAGTTGTTGATGGACACAATACCTTTATTTTATTTATTTTTATGTAGTGCGGAGAATTGAACCCAGTTCCTCACACATGCTAGGCAAGAACTCTACCACTGATCTACAACCCTAGCCCACCAGAAGCTATTTTCTTATTGCTCAAATACCTCAGGGGGCCTGGCTGTAGCTCAGGAGGGGGGCACTTGCCTAGAGTGCAGGAGGACCTGGGTTCCACCCCTAGCACTACAAATGAAACCACCTCAGGAGACTAAACACCCTACTCACTCCTTCAGCTCATCCTTAGTGAGCACCAGCTCTGTGCCCTGCTCTGGAAGAGGCTGAGTTCTTTATTTTCCTCCTTCCAATTCTAATGTTCTCTACTGGTTTCTTGCAGGTTTGGATGCAGGTCTATCTTGTGAGTGGCTCCTGGTCCCTCATGCTAACCCTGCACCTGCTAACTACTGATAAAGCACAGTCTGTATCCTGACAGTTGTCCATGGGCCATGCAGCTGCCTCCTGTTTCCTCACTAGGGATAGTTTCACTCTGTTTGTGGGGATGTTGGAATACCCCTCCCTGTTGAAAAACCCATCCTCAGTGTGAAGTCAATATTCAATAGGAAGGGGTGTGGGTGTGTGAGACCTTTGGCAGAGGGTTCCCTTCAGGGTGGCCCCTGGATCATTTACCTCTGAAACCTTTTGAGAACTGAAAGAGTATCTGAAAGGGAGGACCAGACACTGCTTTGACAAGGTTAAGGGACTTGAGAGCAACACAAGCCAATGTCAGTCTTGCCCCAGCAACCTGCCACAGCCTCCAAACCTCTCTAGAGACAGGACAAAGTCAGCTCACAGTTTCAGCTACAGTTCCCAGATCCTGGACAGTGGTGCTATTGCTCAGCATGAAGGGGCACCCTAGGCCCCACTGTTCAACCAAGATATGCAAGAGCTGTCCCTCATTCCTAAGGCAAAAAGCTGCAATCATAATTGCAAATATTAAAATGCAAAAGGAAAACATTCTGTCAGGTGTCATTATCCTCTCAGCCTCCTACTTGATGAGTTTTCCATTGTATTTAGTTCTTTGGTAAGTTCTTCCACTGTAAATGTAAATGACACAAATGGCCTCCCTGCCCTCACACCTCCTTCAGCTACATGAATATATAATTTAAAGAAGGTATGTGTAAGGAAGCTCAGGCTGAGTGGGATCCAAAAGGTCCCATCCCTCAAGTCTACATAAACATAAAGGTTACAATGGGGTAATTGTGTGAGCTGATGTTAAGTGTGTATTCCCAAGACTGGTTTCCTAAAACACTTCTATTATATATGCAAAAGATATGGAGAAATTGTATGTTATGTTTCTCGGGAAATTCTCTCTGCAGATTTTGGATGTAGATGAGAACATCTGGGTTTTTCCCCTCATTTGTCTCCTGTGGCTCAAGTTCCCTTTAGAACTCCATAGAGGTGAGACATGTGACCCAGGGAGGGCAAAAGCAACTCACCATACCTTCAGATTTTCTCTTCTTCTGACTTTGCCTTACTACCCTACAAAACACTCCCAACCGCTTCCCAACTTCTCCCACCTGAACCAGGCTTGACTGTGGAGCCTGGCATGTGGCATTAGTACACCAGTGCTCAGTGGCTTGCTTTGTGGAGCTACTGTTCTGGGCACCTACCATCATGTCCACAGCCTGTTTCCATCACTGCACTCACACATGCACGCTGCAACAAAGCTAATAATAATATTAAGGTCATCCTGATATTTCTTTCCTTTGTTGTTGTTGTTTTGAATTCATCATTTTGGATTTTAGTCTTGGGCAGTCACTGTTTATTCTCATGACCTGACTATATTTTAGTCATCACTGACTAAAGGAATGAAAAATCTGTAATTAATACAGGTAGTTATCACCCTGAAAAGAAGGCCATACCCCAAACACATGCCTATTTCACAAAACCCAACTCTTTAAAATAGAACAACCAAAATACAAAAACAAATCTTTCCATGTCAGAAAATATTCAAGAGAAGACTTATATATGCATTTAGTTCGGAATCTTCAAGGGGTATTTTGATCCGAGATAATTTTTTCTAACCCTTTCATCCATCTTAGCTTAAGTGAAATTAATTCAATATTATTCTTTTTGCTGGTTTCACTCTGTAGATAAATTTTCAAAGCTTTTGAAAATATCTGTTATATTCCATCCATGTATATTCCAACTATAATGTTAATATGTTTTGGCAATGTTTTTAGGTGGACACATCACAGTATCCTGGAAAATTATAATTAAAGGCTGTCACTCGCTATTACCTTACTCTAAACTGACAAAGACTTGATTTACATTAATACTGCAGGGAAAATATTGACCCTGATCTCTACAAGGCAGCCCCCCAACCTGCAGTCCAAAGGCAGGTGAAAATCCCAGTGACTTTTTGTTCAAGAGGTGAAGGCCAGGGCCCTGGATAGGAGAGAGCACCAGGTACTTGTGCTTTTCAGGTATGTGGTCATATCAGTCTCAGTTTAACTAATCATATATTAGTTACTCACAGAATATGTTCTATGGGTGAATTATTCCCCCTCATCCCAATATGTAGAAATCCACTCATTTAGTTAAGTGCTTATGCTTGGTTTAAATAACTTAGTACAAACCTGGTATAGTGGTGCACGTCTATAATCCCAGTGACTTGGGACACTCAGGCATGGACTGCAAGTTCAAGGCCAGCTTCAGCAACTTTTTTTTTTCTTTTTTATAGTACTGGGGATTGAATCCAGGGGCATTTAACCACTAAGCCTCATTCCCAGCACTTTTTACATTTTATTTAGAGATAGGGTCTTGCTGAGTTGCTCAGGGCTTCGCTAAATTGCTGAGGCTGGCTTTGAAGTTGCTATCCTCCTGCCTCAGCCTCCCAAATCACTGGGATTACAGGCATGTGCCATCTAGTTTTGGCAACTTAATGAGACCTTGTCTGAAAGTTAAAAAAAAAAAAAATAGAAAGGGCTCAGGCTGTAGCTCAGTGGTAAAGCTCCCCTGGGTTCAATCTTTAGTACTAAAACAAAACAAAACTAATCAGTACAATTCAAACAACTTAAAAACTTTCTCCTCCCTGCATCAATGTGAATACTTCCAAGGCAATCTGAGCCCAAATGTGAATTAGCACAGAAGTGCAGTTTAAAAGATATCCATGGTAGAAGGAATTGAACTTTATTTATTGAATATATCTCTGCATTATATATTTCTATAATTATTCAGATGCATATGTATATATTTAACATTGTACATAGAATTGTTTTGTTTTTTCCTTTAGGAAATTACTTTCTCTTTGGCAATGGGAAAGAACAACAAGTTGGAGTTTACTCACTTCATTTTCCACCAAAATTCAAAACTTGTTTGCAAATGTAAAAAGGACAATAAAACAATAAAAAACACTAACTTGAAATTTTCTAGCACAAAGCTGTGTATGACCTAAAGTAGGTTTTCAAATGACTGTTCAGACAAATTGCTGCTTTCAGACTTACTGACCTGCACTTTGGTTTCAGCCACATAAATACGTCTTGCCAGCTCCCTTCTATGGAGAGAAAACCACAGATGTTTAGCATTGGGTGTTGTGGATGAAATAAAATATAATATACATTCTGTGCTTGTTTGAAATTTACAATCTCACCTCACAACTACTTAAGCATACTTTTCTGTAATTCTCTGGAAAAGTCTCACTTTAGAAATGGTTTGACCTTAGCGGGGCACAGTGGCACATGCCTGTAATCCCAGTGGCAGGGGAGGCTGAGACCATAAGGGAGGATCGCAAATTCAAAGCCAGCCTTAGCCGCCCTGAGACACTAAGCAACTCAGTGAGACCCTGTGTCTAAATAAAATATGAAACAGGGCTGGGGTTGTGGATTAGTGGTTGCGCGCCCCTGAGTTCAATCCCCAGTACCCCCCACCAAAAAAGAAATGGTTTTACCTCATCAAAAAATTAAAGGTGGGCTGGGGATGTAGCTCAATTGATAGAGTGTTTGCCTTGCATGCACAAGGCCCTGGGTTCAAACCCCAGCACCACCAAAAAATAAATAAACAAATAAAGGTGACAATAACTGTTCAGTAGTCCAAACAGATAACTTTCCCATGTTAAAAAAATAAAAATTAATGCAAAAATCTATGAGGAACAAGTTATATAAATTTTAAGTACAGGATGGCTACAGCACTGAAGTTGCATGATAGTAAGTCATTCTCCTGATCCTGATTCAAATAAAATTTCATTTACAAAAGCAGACCTCTAGCACAGACAATAAAAGAAAAATCAAGTGGACTACATCAAAAGTAAAGACAAATCAAAATACATAATCAAGAGAGTGAAAAGGCAACCACACAATGGAAGAAAATATTTGAAAATTATATATTTGGTAAGGAATTTTTCAAAACAGTTTTGATAGTTCCATATACTGGAATATTACTCAGCCTCAGATATGAGGCTAATACATGCTACAACATGGATAAACCTTAAGGACATTACACAAAAAGATATAAGGTAATCACCAAGAGACAAATACTATAGGATCTCACTTATACGAAGCACCCAGAGTGATCGAATTCATAGGATAAAAAAGTAGAATACTGGTACTGAGCCCCGATCAGGACGAGGGGGTAGGGAAAGGAAGTTGTTTAATGGATTTAGAGTTTCATTTCAGCCAGATTAAGATGTTTTGGGGGTTCTGTCCCACCACAACATGTAAATACTTAACACTGCTTAGATCCACACGTCAAAAGTGGTTTAGATAATAAATTTCATGTTTTGTGTATTTTATTACAACTTTGAAACAAAACAACAACCAGCTAACTACTGATTTCCAGACTTAATTCATGTTAGTACCACATGAAAATGTTGACCAGATTCCCACAAGGCAAACCCCACAGAGCAGAAAGGCAGGTGAAGACCCATGCTTAAGAGGGGCAGGACAGGACGGGGGCCAGGACAGAGGAAAGTTATCCCCAAAAGAACCTGAAGTCCTGGAGAATGACCCCCTCCCAGAGCCAGTCACTTACCTGCTGACCACATCAGGATATTGAGTAACTTGGAAAACACTCTCCAGTTCCTGCACCTGCCATTGTGAGAACTTGTATTGGATTCGAGGACGCCTGCGCGGAGGCAGCGGAACCACTGGAGCCAATTCTTCCCTCTCCACAGATTGCGCCTGTTGCTGGGGCTCCAGGCTACCGCCATGGCGGATGACGCCTACTTCGCCTTCTTGGATCATGCCACCCTCGTGCTTCTTGTTGTCGAAGAAGCCTACATCTTCACCAACGTGGCCACTTCCGGCTGCTCCTTCCCTTTCGGCTTCCACTGCTACACCTTGCTGATCTTCAACATTCATATCTACCTCACACATCCCTGGGCCATAGTATGTAGGGCCACAATACTGATCTTTGCGATCCATGGCCGCCGTCGCTAAAAAAAGCCTCTAGCTTCTACAACCGCAGTGCACTCTGGGAACACAGCCGGGGCCACAGCTTGGTGTTCCTCCTCGATCTGCAGCATTGTACTGGTTTCTAGGGTTCTGAGGTAACTTAGGTCCCTTGGATGATGCTCAGGCTCCCTTCCAAAGGATTGCTATTGTCTCCCTGCTTATAACCTGTGTCTGTGAGTGGAACTTGCTTAGGCATTGCAAGTGATGAGATGTGGCCAAAAATAAGGGTCTTATAGAGAAAAAAGGTGCCAATAGGGGACGTGACAGAATGGGGGGACAAACATTCTACTTAACTGAATATTCCACCTCCTTCCCATCTAGGACCCTACAGAAGGGATAATGCTGGGTTGCAAGTTGATTTAGGGGTGGAGAAAAAGGGAGGAAGTGAGTTCCCACACTGACCACAGGACCCCTTAAGTGAACATTTGGAGAACATCTCATCCCATCCTACATAATTCCCATGGCTGGCTCAGACTAGGAGTTAATCTGACCTGATCCTCTAAGGAACAGCTTACTCTCAGTTCCATCAAGAACACTGAAAGACAAACCCTTAAGGGAAGCAGCTGCACATTGGTGTTGCAATGCTAGAACTTGCTGGGTGTTGAGGCACACTCTACAAGAAGCCCCATTAGTCCCTTGAGAATGCCCAAATACTCCACAATTTTGATACTCAATTCACATCAAGTGTGAAACCCTGCTCAAATCTGATCACATCCTAGAATGCCTATACTGAGGTCCTTCCTGTTTCCTGTTGTAATAAGGATAAATGAGTTAATATTTTTAAAAGCATTTAGAATAGTATCTTCACAGGAAGAAAAAAATCAAAGGAGATGGAGAGAACTACTGCATTTCAGGAAAACTTATCTTGATCACAAGAGACATTAGTTTCATAAAATCTCCTTTTTCCTCTCTAAGATGCCTTTGTCTTCACAATCTGTTGGCTTGACCCTTGAGACATAATATTTCTTAAAGCTTCCCCAAGCACATGCTTATCATTAAGGAAAGCTACAAAATGTCCTAGAAAGAAAGATCAATTCAGCTCTGTCTGAGACACTTGTGATGCTCTGGTGTTTAGTGTTCAGAACTTGGAGATCAGAACTAGATGAAGAGTGTGAAAGATAAAGAGGAGAAACTTCAGGCAGGGATGCAGGGCAGAGAGAAAAGCATATGCAGGACTGACAATGAAGACTGTCAGGACAGAACAATGGTAGTTTAGGAGTGTTGGCTTCAGAAGAGCTTTCAATTAATTTCTTCTATTCCATGAAATGAAATTATTTGAAATGGGCTTCTCAGGCAATCTGCAAATTGGGAGCTGTGGCGTGAATCTGTTTTGTAGACCTGATTTAGATGGCCAGTGTACTTTTTAATAAAATATGTTTCAGTTCATTGCTATTATTTAAGGAACTGAAGGTTTTATAAAAATGTTTTGATATTTGATCAACCTTGAAAAATGGGAAAATCCGGCAGTCCTGGCCCAGCATTCCTAGCCAGCAATACTGAGCTGGAACTGAATATTGGTTATCCCCTTTGCAAGAGGCATATTCTTCCACACTATGCCACACTCTCCACCTTGCTTGCTTCTCTCATTGATGTTACCTGCCTGGCCTTGGAAGCATTTGAATTTGCTACTCTGATCATTACAAGTGTTTAATTCCATCAAATGTCAGGCATATCAAGCAGAGAGAAAGACAAGATGAACCCCATGTTCCCATCACCCAGTTTCCACAATTACAAGATGAACCCCATGTTCCCATCACCCAGTTTCCACAATTATTCCTAGACAGCCTGGTTTTATGAACACCCAAGAAATTCTTCAACACATTTGCATCTGCCTCTGGATTTCTGGGATGCAAATCTAAACATCATCGTTTCATCAATAAATATTTCAGTGTGTATTTCTAAAAGAGCTGAATGTGTGCCTCCCAATCAGACCTCTTTTTTTTTTAAAGAGAGAGAGAGAGAGGAGAGAATTTTTAATATTTATTTTTTTAGTTTTCGGCGGACACAACATCTTTGTTTGTATGCGGTGCTGAGGATCAAACCCTGACTGCACGCATGCCAATGGAGTGTGCTACCGCTTGAGCCACATTCCCAGCCCTCAGACCTCTTTTTGTTATGCCATACATGCCATGTCTTCTAGTGTGATAACAGGAGGGCTGTGTGTGTATGCATGAGTGAGAGTGTGTGTGTGTGTGTGTGTTTTACTGAGTAACAGTGAAGCCAGAATTAGACAGGCAGTCAACATAGATAGGTAAATTGAGTTAGGTTGTATCAAGGAGGCCAAATTTGAGTCTGGGAAGTTGGAGACTGTCCCCTGAGGGATTGAAATGTTAATTCCTTGACAGTCCTTCCTCCACCCTTATAAAAGAACCTGCCCTGCTCCAACCTGTTGCCAAGGTAACCTTTCTTAGTAATTGCCCCTCTCTACAGGGAGCTATAAAGTTGTTAATTAATGTGTCCCGGGCTGCACCATCCTGCCCTTCCCCCTTCAGCCCACCTGTTTCCCACCTTTTGGCCATCCCACCAAACATTCCTGGGCCTATGTGAGCATAGGCAGGAAGGAGAAAGATAAGGGGGGAAAGGCAGGAGAACAAAGGAAGCCTAGGACATATAAAAAAGGGCAGAACACCTCCTTTTGGGGATACCAGTATACCAGCTATGGCCCCCTTCTCCCTCCCGGGATAAGTCTATGTTACCCCTTTTTAAATAAACTCTGCTTTATATGCTTGCCTCGGGGTGCCTATCTAATGTTCAAACTTCAACTTGCTTGGATCCTACCCCACAACTAGGTTTGGGCATGGAATGCGTTTCAAAACCCTTTCCCTATCCTGCAGGAAGCATGAAGTAAAAGCAATGAGGTAGAGGGCTGCTGCCTGTCCCCAGGCTGCCTTAGTTTCTGGCTGGCCATTCCTGTAACCATCTCTCTTAGTCCAAGGGGCCAGGAACTCTGGTACCGGAGTGACCTTCTGCTACTGCTGCTGGAGCTGCTGTTCCTTACTAATTTTTTTTTTTCTCTCTCACTAAGTTTGAGACAGTATTTTGTCCTCCTTGTCTTCTAATAAAATCACCAAGTTCAAGGGAGCCAGGGTGGGGTGGGGGTGGGGATTGCATTTCTCTGGGAGTGAAAAGACAGAGAGCAATTAGAGCATTGGAGTCCTGGCTGGAGGAAGCCAAGTGCTGGGAAACTCACAGCAGGAGAGACAAAAAGACTTCCAGGTCGCCGGGAAAGGTAGCTTCCTGGAGTTCACTGGAGCGTGAGTCATCATCCTGGCTATAAAGTTCTTCCCTGTCCTGGTAGACTCCCAGGCTACAGTAGATGGTATCATCAGTGGCTTCAGCTGTGCTGAGGCTCCGTGCCCTCAGTGCTGTGGTCGAGCTGTGTGCCTCCGCAGACTGCGCAGAGACAGGAGGTGTACTCAGCATCCCTGTCTGATCATCTTGTGGTGACTTCTTCCAGTGTCAAGCAGGCCTTGCTAAGGTGGAAAGCCAAGGTAGAAATCTTAGTCAACCAACTATTGGCTTTTATTTACAGCCTGTCCCTGGATGTGTAAAATGCATGTATTCACAAAGACCAGGCCATGAAATAGGCACAAAGTATGTGAGAAGGCTGTGGACAAGGTGTGGGGGTGCTACCCTGCACAATAGGGTCTCTCTGTTGCAGTGCAGATAACTGCACTCATCTTGGTCAGGAATCTGAGCTGAGAAAGGGACTTTTTTTTTTTTGGCTGTGGGAGAAGGATATAGGAATGCCACACAGCGTCCCTTAAGCAAACTTTTACGCTGACCTTTTTTTAAAAAAATATTTTTTAGTTGTTGATGGACCTTTATTTTATTTATTGATAATGTGGTGCTGAGAATCAAACCCAGTGCCTCACACATACTATGCAAGCACTCTTACCACTCAGTCACAACCCCAGCCCTCTGCTGACTTTTAACTCAGGCAGCCTTCCATATCCAGAGGCAATAATCCACCAAAGGTAAGTAATTAAGTGGAAATCACTTGTTAGCTGGCAGCTTGCTTTCAGTGTTTGCGGTGATGCTCAAATCAGAGCCCGCCACACAGTCGGGAGCTCTGGGAGTAGAATCTTAGGGCTGGGTTTGCCCAGCAGTTATAGGGATCTCAGATGTCCTGTGAAAGAAAGTCAAAGAACCTCTTGAGGAGTACAAACCAAGTACTCCAGGTTTGTAACAAGGAATTCAACACCTCATGGTGCAAGTGTAGACCCCTGCCCAGAGCTTAGTGCATGGAGAATGCTCACGCTGCCCACGCTCTGGGTGCACATGCATTCTGTGCTGTGCTTCACCCACGCACTTCTGGTTGCAGGTCCTCTACATTACCTCAGGTGTTCCCTGTGCTGGGCTTCTGCTGTGGACCAGGGTGAGATTCCACCCTTCCCCTGCCTCCTTCTCCTCCCACCTGCCCTTTCTTTCTCTAGAAATATTGACCTGATTTCTTGTTGAGAAATAATCCAATTTGATTGCCAAATAACAGAGCACCAGGACAGATGGAGGGCGTTGTGGCTCTTCTTTTAAACCATGATTTGTGGATGTTCTGGGAGGTGTATGTGTCCCGAATATTGAAAATGACTTCTAATAATGGGCTCTATGCTCAATATCATACTTTGATATTGATTTCTCCTGTCTTCCCCTTCATAACCACCTTTATCTTCAGCACCATTTTAGGAAATAAAATAAACCATTTTGAGGAGCGCTAAAATATCATGGGGCTTAGGGACCTCACCTCCTCTTCCTCATGCATAAGTGGCCCCTGCCTCATGTTTCTGCAGTCTGGCTAAGAAATCTGCTTACAAAAAACTGGTGACTGACCAGTTCACACCCCAAAAGAGGTCAAGGGCTGGCAGTCCCACAGCCTCTCTGACTGTCATGCAGGTGCCTCCTCCTGAGTCTGGTTCTTGCTGGATTCTGCCTCCTCCCACTGACTTAGCTGCTCAGTCCATGATCCATTTGCA